TAATTTTCAGCACAGTATGTTTTAAAAATGAAAGCAACTTAAAAAACCGTTCATGGAACAAATGAGAAAAACAGACAGCAGTAAGTTGCCAGGACTACCTGGCAACCTGAATAGTTATGAAATGGAAGATCAGAATCAAAATGGGAGGATAAAAATCAGAAAGTCTCCAAGGAGTCAAGGAAAATACAGGCCAGTAAGTATTACATGCATCCCAGAAATTTAGAAGGAACTATAATATAAGGATATTTAAGGATAAAAGTAAGGAAATTTGGTAGATATTACCTATTGTCAAGTCTGTATGACTTTGAAGGCATAAGAGAGAAATCTTACCTTCTGATCTTGAAGTTCTCTAAAAGGACTAAAAACAGGTGGATGAGTGTGATCTGACTCATATGAAATACCTGGATTTCCAAAGCTCTTTTGACAGAGTCCCTAATCAAAGGCTTTAAAGGCAATTAAACAGTGTCTAAGTAGAAGTTCCTACATTTACGTTTAAAATTAGAGAGTTGAGTAGCTGCTGTGAAGGTATGTTACCAGTAGAGTTCTGCAGAGATCTGTGCTGAGACTTGTGCTATTTTACAGTATTTATAAATGACCTGGCCAACAGCTGAGGACTGAGGTGATAGAAAATGTAATTTTAATGATAGTTATGTGGCATAGTGTGGAATTCCAGAAAGACCCCATGAAATCAGGTAGAAATGCAACAAAAAAACAACGAGAAACATAGATAAATATAAGGAAAACACAGTTATTATTCAGAATGGAGATCCTGGTTTTAAGATGGGTAATTCCATGAAATTCTCTATTCAGTAGCAGTCAAAGGAGCAAATCAAGACTGGGAAACACCAGAAAAGGATAAGGGATTAGCAGAAAACTTCCATCCAATGCAATCATTGCATTCCAATTCCTCCAATTCTTGAACCTTAATTAGCAGAGAGACAGAACAGGATTTTTCTTTTTTCTCCTTTACCTCTCCAATAGCAGCAGAGCATGAAATGTGTATGAGTCAAGTTCAAAGTAATAGTTCTTCAAGCAAGAGGAGGCTGCGTTGTGGAACTTGCTGTCAGAGCTGTTGAGAGTGAAAAGGGCTTACAGTGGTTCAGGGGTGCAATGGACAAGTACCTGAAATAAAGACTCACTCCAGGTTACCAAACAGGGCATTCTGAGCTACAAAGAGTTGGGAGCTGGAAAAACGAAATATTGCACATACTTGCTCTTCTTTTACTCCGAACAGGTGAATTCTGGAGACAAGTAACTGACTGGCTTAGAAGACCCCTGACTCAATATGACTGTTCTATGGAAACACACATGTGCTGACGCTTTTACAATAAAGACACTCCCCCCCCCCAATCTATGCATCTTCAGTTATATACTGATTTTTGCAGTATTGCTTTCACATCCACTTCTCTGAAGTTCACATATCTGAACTTCCATTTCATCAGATATCTTTCTGAGTAAGGAAAGGTATAGCAAGGGAATATGCTTGAATTTTGAATTTTTCAATTCAGTCTGTAACTCAGCAGGTGGAAAGAAGTCACTTCACACTTCATGTGATACCCACCAGCATTCATTTCAGACAAGAGGGACTGAATAGAAGTCACAGCATGAAAAGTAGACAAGAGTGAACATGATGGGAAAAAAAACAACAGCTCCTACCTGGACTGTTTAGACTGAAATGTCATCATTCAGGAATGTCCTATAGTTCCCTGTTCTGTCCATTTAACTTTCACCAGCAGTAAGTTTATGCATAAGTGCAGAGCAAAAAGTTTACTTGTGAACTAACTATATTGATGGGGACTATATAGAATATTTCATATGAATGACCATGTAATACTTCAAAAGAAAATCATTGTGATGAGAAGCCAAAGGAGATAGTACAGTAAATCCACATGGCATCAGAAGTACAGACAATGAAAGATGATTTTATTTACAGAAGAAAATAAAATAGTTGACTCAAACCCAAGGATGTATATTTGTTTAAACAGCACGGCTATTTTTTTAGTGAAATATTTTCCTTGTTGGCTATTTAGGAAGAGAATGTCTTAAGACTGTCATCTACAAAAACAGAAATATCTTTTCTACGTAAGCAGTTTGTTAGCCCAGTTGTAATGGACTAACAAATGGGAAAGGATAAGGACAAAAAGGCTTTGAATTTCTCAATCTAGGACTCAGCATATTGTGTTTGACCCTGAGTAAACATTGCTGTTCCCAAACCAGTGACACTGGCATAAGACACACGAAGTGATAAAATCTAGCAGAAGTTGCTGTCAATATCTTCATCTCAGGAAAGAAAAAAAGAAGCTGGGGACTGTTCTCTAGTCCTGAGATGAGGAGACAAGGTCTGCTGCATACAGCCTTCACTGGAGCTCAATTCAGGTCTCTTCTGTGCTCCAAATGTCCCTGGGAGCTCTATGACAACAAAACTTCTACACGTTTATTCCAGATGTTTTGAAATAAACCTAGGGTACTGTGTTGAAGTCTGCAAGATTACAGCATGAAACATGTTTCAAGTCCTAGGGTGCAGCAAAACAGCACAGGGGACACCTGAAGGCTCAAAAACATGTTGGAAGAATTTTGAAAACATATGAAGGGTGGAAAGAGCCAAAGCTCATTCAGATTGAGTTTCTCCTCACCAGAAATGAAGGTGAGAGACACTTGTATCTGATCGTTTGACTGATGTCACTAGATTGCCTGTTATCTTTAAATTAATACATAAAATAAATGGACAATATGAGCTACAGATACAGCTGCATTTCTACATGCTCCTCTACCACCTGACTTCAAGATCAATTTTGATGATCTTTCGCAGGCTAGGGGAGGGTCTAAGATCCCTCTGTGAAGCAAGGGTGACATATCAATTAAATACATCATGGCCAGAGCATAAAGCCCTTTGTTCTGTGGTCTTTCTGATTCCCAGCCTGACTTACAAAACAAAAATGCATAACGCTAGGGACCAGCCTAGAACTTTGGCCTGCCATGCATTGTCTGTGAAATTCTCTTTTACCTTTTACTATTTCTTAGTGCTGCGGTAAATGAATGAGTGGGTATATTATGTGCCCATATATCTGTGTCTGTCATTCTGAGTGAGTGTGTCTGCCTCTGTCCTTGACTTACTTTTTTTCTTTCTTCATGTTTCTTTTTTTTTCTTTTTTACACTCTCTTAGTTCTATTCAGAGCCTGTCTGTACTGTAGGAATAGACAGAATACAGAGTGCTTACCACTGTGTAAATGATGTGCTCCCTGAGATATTTTCATGCACTGCGTGCACGGTTGTCCTTCACTCAAATTATGAAATAAAAAGAAATGTATCTACCTTTCTTTGAATTCTTGAAATAAGTTTGAGCAATTATCACATATGTTTCTCTTCTTAGGTTGAAACCAATAATAAAAAGGCGAGAAACAACAAAGACTTAGACTCAATAGGAAATACGAATGTGTCAGGTTCTTGAGGAACTAAGAAGCATGCTTTTACAGAGAATAGGTTACCATATAAAAGCCAGAAATCTCCTAACTTACTGGTATGAATGTTAAGATTCTTGACAGCATTTCAAGCACATTCAGAAACATTTCAATTTTGGATATTATTATCACATATTATATACTGTTAGTCTACGACTATGAAATCACTCAGGTCACAGATCCCCATTTCCAGATAAGGCTTTGTCTGAGCCAGTGAGGGAAACAATATCCTTCCTAAGGATTACCTCTTCTTCTCTGGCTCGAGGACAAGTAAAACAGCCTCTGTGGCTGACTGGTAGCAAAGCAACACAAGCATATATCTTGGGCAGAAAATCTCTCTTCCAATCCTGATGAAGATTCAGTTTGGGGATTTACTGAGAGTAATTTCTTTTTGGGACTGTGATGTTTTCCCCTAGTGGCAGGATTGGATCAGTTCGGAGGATCTATTGGGTTTCTCCTTGCTATTTTTGAACTTGTTAAACATATTCCATACAGCAGTCTACAATTTCAGTGCACAAAATAGGTATAAATGCATGTTCTCCTATAATTTGATAGACTGCCTCCCCCACTTCCCACTCAAATATAAGGAAGACAAGGAGAAAGTTCATTGAATTGCCACTGTGACAGTGAGAGACCAGAGCATGTGCTCTGACATGAGGCTGAGGGAGTTGGGCTTGCTCAGCCTGGAGAATAGGAGGTGTTGAGGTGGACTGAATGACAGCCCTCTGGGTGTACTGGGTGGTAGACAAGAGGCAATAGATATAACTACACTTAAATTACACAGGTTCAAACAGGGTAAAGTCCTGACTGGACAAAGCCCTGAGCAACCTGGTCCTGACCTCGTAACTGATCTTGCTTCATGCAGGAGGTTTGCCTAGAGATCTCCTGCTGTCCCTCCTGACCTGAGCCATCCAATGATCTGATCTGCAATAGCTGCTCTCCAACAGCAGAGCTTGTCCTCTCACAGTCTGGAATAAGACATAGATGAAGCAGTGCTTATTTTAAAGAATGTGCAAAAATAGGAAAGCAACAACTTAATAAGTCTTTCACTTGCAAGTGGAATGAAGATATCATCCCAAGACAAACATTGTGGCCAAAAGCTCCTGAAGCAGTCTGTGGAAAGGATTCCAGAAGGGTCCTAGCTCTTCCTGGCTGGGGGGTTAACACCTAATCCCAATATATGTTATTTCTCTTTCTGATAGCAGACAGAAGAACTCAGTGTAGTATGATTAGTTGCCAAGCTACAGACTGCAGACAAAGAGTAAAAAATTCCCTTAAACTGCAAAATTGTTCAAAATGTTTACTGGAAACGCCACTTAGTACCGCAACATAAATGCGGAATGAAGAAGACTAGCTTTTTAACAGGATGAGTTCCTTTTATCTTGAAAACACATTGCATTAAGACAATACATGCTTAAAGATTCATGAACTTATTTCTGTTGTATGCAGTTCCTTAACTGGTGAATGCAAGATCCTATAAATACTTTTATTCAGACTATGCATTTAAATACTACGGATTAAAAAATACATAATTAAATTACCTGTTACCATGAACATGAGAAGCACAAAATGCAAAGCTGTAGTGGAGCAAGGTTGGATCAATGACAGAACCGTTTTCTGAATATTCAATCAGTTCATCAAGATAGCAGAGATGGCGGTGACAGCCTCTCACCCCGTAGCGAGCGCAGTATTCATCCAAAACGAAGACCTGACCTGGGCTAAACCAGCCCTGAAAGGCAAAAAAACCCACACAACATTTTGAGATTTGTTTTTCCACTCTGGGCTTTAAATCAGACAAAGAATAGAAACACAGATTTTTATGTCCATTGCATAAACTTTCTATATTAGAATGATCTCCATCTGACTAATGCTAACAGCTAGGAAGCTAGATCCTACAATAGCCCTCTTATTGAAAGGATTGCATATATCAGGAAACTATTTGCAGTTACGAGTAACTGCTACTATGAAATAGATTGTTTGCAAAAAACATGCCAATACATCCAAAGTCTGGTACAGACTAAGTTATATGTCAAAACCTAAAATAAACTAACACTTTAAAATTATTAATTTTGTTTTAGCAATCAATTGTAAGATACAAACTAGAATTTGGGAAATGCTGAGGGACAGTAACACAGACATTAAAATAGTTTCTGGATGGTCAGTTCTCTGTGGCTGCAACTTTAATATTCTGACCACAATTCAACCCTTTACCCATGTAGCATGCATGCACTTCTAACAGTTTTAAAACAACTTTTACTAATAAAGAGATGCAAAGCTAGGTAGTTTGTTAAAAGCCACTTGAGTAAGACGAGTAAGATTTGAGCTTAAATAATTATTAGATATTCTCAAGCTTACAGAGAGTTTTCTTAGTCAGTAATGATGAGAACAGCTTAACCCTGACACAGACATGCAAAGTACAGACTCCTTCACACCACAAAAACAGTTCTTGAGTGAATCCAGACTGTAAAAAATAAAATTGAGTCTCGATGCAGAAATATGATAAGAAGAAGCACAGTGAGCTTCCAAAAAGCAGCATGGAGAAAAAAATAAACCTTGGAAAACTACAACTACTGCACAGCTGTTCTGGAATGCTGTAAGTATTTATCTTTGTTCTTGTTTTATTGTGATATTTCCCTCTCATCATCTCCCATCATTCCAGCTCATCAAACGGTTAAGAGAGATCGAGAAATCCCTAAACTCAAATACACAAAAACTTGAATAAACAAAATGATTTTGCAGATTCATGAATTTATAACATCAACATAGCAGCTCAAGACCAGTATTTCCCTAATGCTTGTGAATACTTCTGCAAGATCAGATGCTTAGTATTTGTACAAAATATCAGTAAAAATACTATAGAAAAATACTTTAAAATATATTCAAATCAATTTTAAAAAATCTGTATTTTAACTTTACTAAAAGACTTGCTTGAGACAGGAATTCAAGCTGTGTTGCATCCTCCCCAAACCCTTCAATTTAACATATTATCTGCAAATAAGAAACAACTCAAAGGTATTTCATATTTAAAAAAAAATTTGCTGCTAATTAATTTCTTTGAAGTCAGAACAGCTGTTTCCAAAGAACACTTAGGTTTAGAACCCAGAATAGTACTCAGGATGATAATCATGTATTTGATCATATTGCAGTGCCTCATATAGCTTACACAGTGTTTGATAGTAAATATGGTATTCTATTGAAAGAAGAAAGAAAAGGGATTTTAACTGTATTTCTGCAATAGTAACCTAGCCCTAGATATAATCAACAGTGGTTATTGTGATGGATATTCTCACAATATGTTGTCATTGTCACTGATCTCTCCCTACGTTTTTATGGAAAACAATAAAATGTTGCCTATCATTGCCTAGCAGTACAACTGCAAACTATTAAAATTTATGCTCATTCTCATAAGATATAATTGTGACAAGAACACAAAATTTTAAAGAACTCGTTAATTTAATTAGTCTCTCTTAAAAGATCTGTTTGTGTGGTTGTTTTTTTCATATAAATGTGTGATTTCCTGCCCTTGTTCAATCCCACGTCATGCCCAAGTCTCTCAAACACATAACAACTACAT